GGAAAAAGGTGCCTGGCAGAGGTCCACGCAAGATGAGCCCAAATATTGGGTTGGCAAATTATGCGTTTTTGGGTGGTACCCATGCTATTACGGGGGCCGTACTATCATGGAGACTCAAAGTCATGGAGGCTCAAAAGTCCCCGAAAGCGGGTGAAACATGTGGCAATGACAGTACTATGGTTGTATGTAGCTTCATTCGAACAGTTGATGATGCTAGTGGCTGTATACACGTTCATAGTCGTGTCAAGATGTAGCAGGAAGAATGCTCATATGGGAGCAACAGGGGTAAGACCAAAGGAGTCCCGGTAATTGGGTTGAGGTGAGAGTCTCAACCCCCTCCCCCTAATATTCAAACCACCCACCCCCCTTATATTACATACTCCCAATATCATGTAATATTGTGTTTGCTATTAAGGGGGGGAAGCATGGGGGGGGGGCTTAACATTAGGGGGAGGGGGTTGCGGGCTTTCAGAATTGGTGCCTCGGCCTGAGTCCTCCTCTAACAACGTTACTTCGTACGATATCCATGTGAGCTATAGTCCAAACTCCAAGTATCCCCCTTCATAACTCCTATGGTACTCTCCTATATAATCCCCTATATAACCTCTTTTCAAGGAGTTTGGACCTTAAACCCTACTCAATCTTTGTAGATTTGGGTCTCTGGTTCTTTTCCGTGTTGTCGAGTCGAGCATGGCAGTGGAGGCCCGCCGTAGTTGTTCCCTGATTATGCCGGTTTCGAAACTTGCCATGCTGACTCAGCAATGCAAGAGGCAAAACCCCTATATAATCCCCTATATGAGCCCGCTTTAAGGAGTTTAGACTATCGCTTATGTGGTCTCTGACACTGGGTCATCAAAACGACATCTCTGTAAAGTTCTTGCTTCTGTAGGGTTTAGGGTTTGGGGTTCATGGACTCGCGGAACCTGACCATGCAATGCGCCCTAAACTCTTCTGAAACCCACGCAACTCATAGTATTGCGGTGACTACCGGACAGTTTAGGTAGACCGTCGGGAGTACCATACAAGAAGCAGCGAGGTTGTGAGGCCCATGCTTGGAGGGTCAGGGGGACTTAGTAAGTAGGTTAATGACCCCTATAGTCCGTATGGTAATCCTACTTATCCCCATTATCAAGCTACTTACTAAGTCCCCTGACCCTCCAAGTATATGTTTGCCTTGAGCTTTTAGGTATGCTATGGGATGGGCCACAGCCATGCAGCCCCTCTCCAGAATTTTTCAAGATGGCTTTGGTACCAAAGGCCCAAGCACTAAGCCCCAAGCCCCAAAATCCTACGTGTCCTTACTATAATACTAATCGTGTACCCCCCTTTATTCCCTCTAAAGCCATGAGACCCGGTTGCTGAGGCGGCTCCCTGTAGTCACTTACCTCTTGGAGAATGCTGCGAACGTCCACAGCTGCGACCTGGAAGGAGCCCAAAATTCAGGGAGTTAACTGCAGCTTTACTTACAATATGGGTTAAATAGGGATTATTAGGGTATATTGGGGCTGTTTAGGAATAATGCAAAAGAAAATGGAAACTACTATTTAGGGTTTAGGGTTTAGGGGTAGACTCCCCCTTAAGTAGATAGAATACTTACAATATGGGTTAAATAGGGATTATTCGGGTATATTGGGGCTGTTTAGGGATAATGGAAAAGAAAATGGAAACTACAATTTAGGGTTTAGGGTTTATAGTCCCCCTCAAGTAGATAGAATATGGCTTTGGGAATATTATAATACGGTCCCCATATGCCCCATAGTCTATCTACTTAAGAGGGACTATAACTGCAGCTTTACTTAGTCTGAGTTAGGACGACCCCCCACCCTGTAATAGTGGTATAATAGGAAAATTAGAGGACCCTAGTATAATCCCTATTATCCCTTAAAGTCACTATTACTGGGTTGGGGGGTCCACCTAAAGTCTGAGTAATGTTGAGAATACTTGTTAATGGAGATTATATGGAATAAATTTAAAGCCCGAGCAGCGAAATCAAGTTAGAGTTTTCAATAGTCTTTCCATGGACCCAACACTCGTGCGTATGATGATTGGGGAGTATATGTGCGGATCATGTAGGGGCCATGGGGTCTCCACTACCCCATAAGCGGCCAAAAGGCCGTGGCAGTTCCTCAAACCCAGGGTTCTGGTCTTCGTTGTGTTTGTTGAGTGTTAAGGGGTGCTGAATCGGTCTGGCACATCATGGCGCTAGGTGCAAACACGACCGCTGATGATGATGATGATGATGATGATGATCACGGTGATGGTCTGCCTGCACAGAAACCCATGAATTGCCATCCCTGAACCGCTGCTCCGCCGCTGCCGAGTAAAGCGCTGGTGCTCCAGCAAACTTACTATATGTAGTGCTTGCAACAGAGTTGCTGAGTGCATATCGGAACCAGCATTAAGAGTACAGATTTGGATCGCATCAGTACAGGCACACAAGGAAATCCGAGATGCCGCCACTGCTATTTGCTAGTCTGTCCAGTGGGTACCCTTCAATTTCCTTGAGTAGCATAAGCCCCAATATAATAGCAACCCAAAAGGCAACGCGGAAACGGTCTTAAAACTGAACACTTAGCAAGTGAGATCTCCAGAATTTCCTTATCATCACCATATGTCCCCAAAGCTTTCTTTACCTGAACCCGCCACAGCAAGACGTTGGAGAGGCCATCTTCCCATCCATGTTGCTGCTGAGTCTGGCAACGTTGTTTCGTGGCTTTAAGGAATTCGAGCTGGTGGTCCCAGAAGAGGTAGTTTTCCAAATTTGGGATCCCCCGAAACATAGGAGCTATGTCTTTCTGGGTGCAGATAAACAGGAAGGAGAACTGTTGCAGCTGACCTACCCCACAGGCTAATTATAGGGCGTATGTAGAAGCTTCCAGGGATTGTAGGCTTAGAGCTTGGTCTGAGGTTGTGGGCTGTTTGGCACAGACTACAGATTCAGGAGCTTCAGGCCTTAGGGGAGCGGGTAGGCACATGCAGACCAGCAGGCTCTTTGTAGCAATTTCCCTAGCGGAGGGGCTGTGCACTGTAGGAATCCCGGGCGTCGGAAGCACAGTCAGTAGGCGCAAGATCACCGGATATAGGGGTCCACATGTCCACGAGATCTTTCATGTTGGCCTCAACTAGCCACCAAGCTCTCAAAGAGATCGAGGTCACCTCCTGTGGCTATGTGTGCGCTAAATGGTTTAGTGTCAAGGGGATTTCCTGTGCCAGTATGCTGGTACAGATGCACCGCCAAGCAACCCAACACGCCTGCCCTCGCTGCCTTGTTTCGGATCATGGGATGAGAAGAAAGCTGCGGCAGCAATGAAGGAGTTACAGACGGGTAGCCGTGGATACCATCATTGCTGGCATTCCAACAAGCTGCCAGACCAGACAGGCCATGTTTGTGTTTGACTGAAACATGCTCTTGATGTTTTTTCCCCGAATTCTGCGGAGGTATTGATAGGAGGTGAAATAATGCTTGCTTATGCTCTCACAGCTGACTTTTTGTTTCAAGCACACTGGTTCCAGATTAAGGTCAAGAGGGTTGGTGCCACTGGTATAGTTAGACATTACATCCAGCGAAAATCCACACCTCCCAACCCCTGACTACAAGTCCCCAAACAGCCCCATGACTCCTGGACCCGAAACAAAGAGGGCAAGGAGCTCTGCACTCAACGCGGCCTGCCGTGGATGGTGATTTCACCGAGACACGCCGTGGATGTGCGAGATACTCGCAGCCACCGGACTTAACTTTGCATCAGACTCTCGGCTTGCCAGTAGCTACTTGAAGTCTTAAGGGGCATTTTGCAAGTAACAGCCCCAACTTGCAGAGGTCCTCCTTCCAAGGGTTGCGTGTGCTAGCATTCGCAAGGAATTTCAGATGGTAGCCAAGAGGCCTGAGGCCTGGTCCCATATGAGATATAGTCTAAACTCCTAGTATCCCCCTTAATAAGCCCTATAGTACTCCCCTATATAACCCCCTATATAACCTCCTTTAAGGAGTTTAGACTATGGCTCATATAACAACTCACGAGTCATTCATCTCATAGCTCTTACACAGGTGCTCAGGGCGTCGTCTACCCACCAACCTTGACCCACAATCAAGTAGTCCCTATATAACCCATTGTAGTAGTTTCCGTTTTCTTTTCCAGAGGGGGGGCTCATGTTCAAACACAAAAAGCGTGTTGAGGATGACGCCTGGGCTGCGTCGTCTGCCGCCGTGTCGCTGTGGGCCCCGGGGCCTATTTTTCAGTAGGTTCATAACCCCTATAACCCGCATGATAACCCAGATTATCCTCCTTATTAACCTACTTTCTAAGTCCCCATGGTTCCAGGGCTGAGGGCTTCAGTGGTGTAATGTCTTGGGATGTGTCGGATAAGAGGATTACCCCTAAATTCTCCCGAAGACTGGGTAGCAACCCAGTTTCTTCTGAGTAAGGCCCTGGAGGGGTTTTGGATGCAGACGAAGATAAAAATCAAAGATTTGGAGGTTGCCATGAGCTCCGTGCTTAAAGATTGTTTCAGATAGAGATTCATGGTTATAGTTGACTGGATCCTTAACAGATGCTAAAAACGTACCTTAGGGGCTCGGACTCAGAGTCCACAAATTCAAGCGGGCGGGGTCTGTGAGCAGGTTCTTCCTTCCATCACGGTTGAGGGTACGTGACGTGATGAATTTCACCTACTTAAGCTTATCTAACATGTTCAAAAATTCTTTTGGCAGAGCCTTTGCAGCCGTGTAGACCACAGCTTTGGGCAGGGTGTGGATTTCAACGCCCAATGGGCCTGAAGTCCTAGGTGCTCAGCTCTAGGCTCTCGCCTCCAAAGCCCTCAAGCGACCCTGTGAGCCAAAGCTCAGGATCCCATCTTTTGAGGTTGTCTGCTTCTACAGCACAGAACCTGAGAACTACAGGGTTCGTAGGTCCCAGGTAGGATTTGATTAATTAACCCTAACACAACCCCAATATAACCATAATCTAAGCCTTATAAAGCCGCAATATAGCCCCCGACCTGAGGCGGTGGCGGCTTTCCATGTCCTCTTTCTCTGCTTTGCCGCCTACAGGGATAGCCAAATGCGCAAGCAGGCCCTGGTAGGGTGGGAGGATAAAGAGCTGGGTTTTATAGAGGTTTGCAGGTTTAGGGTTACGCAGGCTTACATAAGGTTATATAGGGCTTAAGGATGTTCTATACACCGAAATGGAGAATCAAATGGGAAAGGACATTGAACATGAACTGGAAACTGGGGGATGGGGATGTATGGTTATGGGTAGTAACAAACTTAAGTTGCAAGTTATAACCAGGTAGCATCCTATTGTCTCTTGCAATAAGAATAACAACACTGATGATAATAGAGAACACTAACAACCTGCCCAGCGGAATACAAAGACCTGAGCTGTTGATCTCCAGTGCGCTGTTGCGAGGATAGGTAGGGAGATGTGACAAAAACGGCCGAAAGCACAGGTCCCTGCACTCTCTCTCTCTCTCTCTCTCTCTCTCCTACCCTCCCTCTCTGAACTTCAACCTCTGACGCATTGCGCCTTTCGCTTTTTTGTTGCAAGTATTGAAGCAGCTTTTCGTTGCAACTGCTGTCTATCTTTCATCCCAGGGCTGGTGGAAGGAGGAGTACTTCCTCACTCGTGATGCTGCGCACGCGCAGGCGCACCGCGAACGCGGAGCTGCCGTGCCAACAGTCTTTCACAGGTTGAGCTTCAACTTCAGACAGTACCGGCCCCAAAGTCTCGCAGTGAGCTCTGTGGAAGTCCAGCACAATGTTAGTTCAAGCCTACAACGAACCTGAACGTGGACACACCATCTAAAGACTTCCTCTTCGTAACGTAGTTCCACATGCAAGGAGTGAGTGGGAAATGTTCAAGCCAAGTACGCTGTGATCCCTTCAATTCATGAAGCCATTCGTCCCCAGCCAAAAGCCCCTGCGCAGTCCCAAGCTAAACCAGCGCTCCAATTGGGTGCTGTTTCGGCTTCATGGGGCAGTATTGTTCGGGCACATGTCAGCCTACCCTCACCCTAGCAACACACCCTTCACGCTTGGGAGTTTCGATTTATCATAGGATAGTACTGCGAAGAGACATGCAGGCGCTTCTATGCGCTTACCAAATTTGCAACCAGTCATCCTAGAGTAATAGCTCCCAGTCGAGCTTAAATTTGTGTGAGTTCCCACAGGCGCGCTGTGTATGATGTGCCTTCCCCCTGAAAGCGTACACTGCAAGCCAAACGAAGCCCTCGATTCTCGGAATGTGTAGAGTAAATCCGTTCGGGAGCCCTTACGGAATTCTTTTAGCCCAGAATCTCTCCAAGCAACGGTAACCCCACGCAAAATATCTACCAGTTTTCGTTTTGACGTACCGTCCCAGACCCAAAAACAAACGTTGCGCACTTAAATCTATGCATCTGCCGTCCGTAGTTTCTGTGAGATTCAAGCCTGTGTGGGCACATCTCATAGTCTCAGGTGTTCCTGCTGGATACTTATAGGGGTCGAGTTGTGAGATTCATCCACCAGTGCTCATGCGAACCTTCACCACCAACAAGTGCTACCGGCTACTAACCCTAAATTTTCATAGCACGCCCGTCGAAAATGCAGCTAAATTTAGCAGCTCAATATGCGGTCCATACATGAAAGCCGACTTTGAAATCCCCAAGGGAATTTCAACAAATCAGATTGTAGTAGTACGGGCTATCATCGTATCATCCCAGAGGCTCTGAAGATCAAGCTGCACGTCCGCTTCCGGGCACTCCTTTGCTCTGCAGCCGCAGCTATTCGAGCGCAGGCGCTGGGACAACATGCGGGGCTTAGGGATTGAGGGTTGAGCTTGAGAGCTCAAGGCTCGGGATCTCGGGGTTTTAGGGAGTGAGCTTGGGTGTTTAGGGTTCAGTTGTTTTGGGGGTGTGGGCTCACGGATTTTAATGTGGGGTTCTCAAATCGCGCGTTTCTCCAGAATTTGGGTCCCACTTACGGGATGTACACGTACTGCGTGGAGACAGGTTTGCTTTTGGTCTTGGAGCTTCTCAAAGCTATGGATGCCCTTCTGTGGATTAAAATGAGGATCCGTACATATTGGAGGCATGTACAGACTTCAAGTGTTTGATAAACACCCAAGCTGTACCCACACACTTACGTTTCTGGAGTTCATAGGGCTTGTCTTCGCGGTCAGGGCTTGGAGGTGAGGCGGGATTCTGGAACTCTTTGCTTTACATGCGTTCCCAAGTAGAAGCAGAAGTGTGGGACGTGTGACGAGAGGTTGTGAAAATTCGCCCACTGGATCGGTCCCTTATGTGAGAGCCAGCTCTTGCCAAGATGCGCGCCACCGAAGAGATTTTTCGTATGTCCAGCACTATCCGGCAGTGCCTGAAAGCTTAGATGATAAGAATGCAGGCAGCATTGTCAGAAGTCCATGTCCGGCTCAGCCTGGGCCACGGGTATTTTCAACAAGAGGGTTGCGCGATTGAAAGTGTTCTTTCAGCATGCGCGGGGAGTACTCGGGGGTGATTTTCCTGTTAGTTTTCGAAGCGCTACTTACCAAACGGTTGGCCCTAAGACGGCTGCAAGGAGGGCGTCTCATGGCTGTCAAAGATGATGGGCGTCCAGTGCGTGAGGCGCGGGCGGAAAGCACTCGGGATTTGGGGGTCTGAGGCGAAGCCTTCAACATCTGTGGCATTTAGGGTTGAGGGCTGTGTGTGTCTGAAGGCAATCAGGGGTCTGGCGCTTGTGCCTCAGAAACCTTGCAGGCGCACGTGTGACAGATTCACGGGTCTGGTATTTTGGCTGGGCTCCAATCATCTCGGAAAAACCTTAGAGGAAGCAGGCATCTAAAGTGAAAGGAAACATCCCAAATCCCTGAATGCATGAATTCTAAACCGCAGTCTGTTCAAGCAGTCTTGGGAGGATTTGCTACAAATTGGCCCGCTGTGTCAACTTCAGGATAAGACTCCTAAGCGTTCTTCCAGGCTACTTAGTGGTGCTGTGGGGGAGTGATTCCACGTCTCTATAGCCTTTCGGTTTTGCTGCTCATATTCATTTCCCACACCCGCCCTCAAGGACGCGAGGCACAAATACCTTACCCGCCCGCTGGGTAAGTTTTGAGACATTTCGAGTAGTTGCAGACTGCATGCAAGCAAGACGTTTAATGGACTTTGGAAGGCATTACGTGTTGGACCCCTAAGATGCAGATGACTACAGGACTGCAGCAGCCGACCGTTTGTACCTCACCGAGATCGATGTGCAGTTCATGCTGCTGCACATGTGTCTTGGCAAAGTTTCGAGTTTTGAGCCTCTGAATGAACGGTACAGTAGGCTGCAGAATCAGGATAGTTTGGTGGATAGTTGGATGGAAACCTGTACATGCACGTTTGGATGTAAGATTCGGAGAGCAGTGTAGGCTCAAGAGCTTGCGCCCAAGAGGAGCCAGCATGGTATGCAGAAGGAAAATGCCATTGGGCCCACGCAGGCACAAAGCGGGAAGCTTAGGCGCTTGGCTTTTTGGCTTCCTTGGTTGTGGCCTTGCAGCCTCGGGCCCTCCAGCCTTCTGGAGAGCAGGGCGGCCACGCACTGTGCATCGCAGCTACGCCGAAGTGGAGCTCTTGTCCCACCTGGCAGTGCTGCTCATGCCGGAGGAACCCATTGGCGAGCTTTTCCGTGACTTTCCGGTGGAGCCTTCTGAGGAATGGGGGGCGCGATGGTTGTGCCCAGATATCGCTGCCCATGGAGTTCTGCAGAAGGCGAGTGCGGTGCTTTTTGTTGAATATGACGGCCATCCTCATCATCACACAACAGATGGACGGCAAACCGACGAGCGCAAGACCAGAGCTTTACTCAAGCACGCACCTAGTGGGTCGAAGGTGCTGCGCATTAGCCACAGAATTCGGAGTTTGGAAGCGACGAGGAATTCAAGTGCAGTAATTGTAGATGTATGGCGTAGAGGGCACGAGCCTTCCTTGATGAGTGCAGTATGCCAGGCAGCGTATGCGCTTGTGAGCAGGTTTGGGGGGGATCTGACGAAAGATGTGTGCAAACGGCTTAAGAACCTCGAGCGCAAGCGTGCAAGCTCAAGCTTTCAGGACGCAGGTAAGTATGCGAGGAAGGTGCTGCTCACAAGCAGTGTTGAGGACAAGAAAGCCAGGATGCACGCATTTTTGAAGGGGGAACTGGAGTTCTCAAACTTCAGCATCGAGACTCTAGCTCACAAGTTTCCAGGTATCTGGGGCACCAGCATCCAGGACAATCTGAAGCCCACAGTGGCGTGGCTTGAGGATGTTGGGCTGAGCAGGGCGCAAGTGGCCAAAGTCATTGCTGTTTGTCCTGCAGTCTTGGGCCTGAGCATCGAAGGCAATCTGAAGCCCACAGTGGCGTGGCTTGAGGATGTTGG